TATAAGAGGTGCTTCAGGCTTTGGGGGAATGCTTGGGGTTCGAGTGCGCAGTTGCCTAGGGCCACGTGTTCTGGACCCTGCGCATCATTTCAGTTTTTCCGAAAAACGCCGTAGCAGCCCATTTTCGCATTTAACGGGAATTCAATGGGGGTTTTCCAGTTTCAACGTGATTCAACGAGATTCAACGAGAATTTAATTCCCCCATTTCCCGTTAAGAAGACACACAGTGTATTGGTGCCTAATCTGCCAAGTGTCAGGGAAGCACAAAATGGTAAAGGAGAGTAGAGGGACTACGGAGAAAGATGAGACAAGATGCGAATTCACACGTGAAACAGACACTGCAAGAAAGACAATCCGAAGAGGCAGTGGCCACATGGCCAGCAAACGTAACTTACACTCGAAAAGTGACCATGTGCATAAGCAAGGCCTTCCAGCTTAATCGGAAACCTTACATCACAAGAACCAACGATGTTCTGAATTTTGAAATCCTGCGAAGAGCAAGTACAGAAGAAAGAAGCTCTCACACAGTGAGACCAGGCGTGCATCAATGAAAGAACCCCAAGACACAAATCACCACTGCTTATCCCAGCCAGGGGCAGCCACGAAACTGACGGAACGCTAGTAAAAAGGGATGCTAGCTCTTCACGGCACAGGCCACCTCAGATTCGCAGCAGACGTGAAATGTTTCGGGGCATGGCAAGCTGAATGGAGCAGTTTGGTGAGGCCAACGAGCCGATGAAGGCGCTCTGTGCAAGGCAGCAGCCGTAACTACCGTATTCACCCAAATACAACGCCCGGTCATTATAGCTGTATTCGGGGCAACTTTCAGTCTAGGTACAGCGATAATGACCAGGCATTCTATTCGGGTGAAGACGGTAGGTGCATCTTGAAGGAAGATCTGGGAGAACAACATGGTACACTTCAATATTTGGGCAGTACTTGAGCAATGACTCGAGTCACACTCGGCTATGGGACCTTCCTAACCCGGCATGCACTGCCATGCAGCCCACACCTGTATGCGGGCGGGGCCCCCGCCCAGATGGGGACAAAAGAAGGCCATAAAAATAACTTGCACAGTGAATAGGTGCTTCCCCGGAGCAGGTAGATTCAGACATTTCTGCTCAAGTATGAGATGGCCAGCTCTTGGAATGGATGGTGGGTAGACTTCTAGAGCAGGCATATTGATGACGATGACGATGGGTAGATTTCTAGGGCAAGCATATTCCTTATTCATACATGATGATGATGATGACGACGATGATGACAACAATGACGACGACGGCGACGATGATTCAATGAGGTTTGCCATCCAGAAATCTTCCTTATAAATGCCACTATCTTATTACGTATCTTTGGCGTGATTTTGCCTACTGAATTCCTGCTTGACCTGTTCTTTCATGGGCAAGGAAGAGCATAGCAAAGAGAGGAAGAAGAAGAAAGATGATCATGGAGAAGCAGCAGCAGCAGTGGGAGTCGACGACGAAGAAGAAGAAGATGCAGCAGCAGCGCGGGAGAGGAAGAAGAAGAAGAAGAAATGAAGACAAAAGATGAGAATGCAGCAGCAGCAGTGGGAAGAGAAGAAGAAGAAGGATGCAGCAGCAGCAGTGGGAAGAGAAGAAGAAGAAGGATGCAGCAGCACCAGAAGCGGGAGAAGAAGAAGAAGAAGGATGCAGCAGCAGCAGAAGCGGGAGAAGAAGAAGAAGAAGAAGAAGAAGAAGAAGAAGAAGAAGACGTGAAGACCAAAGATGGGGATGCAGCAGCGGCGGCGGCGGTCGCAGGAGAAGGAAAAGAAGAAAAAGAAGAAAAGGGACGAAGAAAACAAAGATAAGGACGCAGAGACAACAGCACAAAGGAGGCGAGGATGAGGAGAAGGATGAGCACAAATAGCAGGGGAGGGGGGGGGGGGGGGGGGGGGGGGAGGGGTAACAGAAGAGGAAAGGTGAGGAAGAGCTGCAAAGTCTTCACATTCTGCTTTTGTTGAGGCCGGGCAAGAAAGCGCCACCATTCTCAGAATTGCACTGCAGCTGCCCAGACCTCGCATGGTCTCTGCGGGGTCCAGAACGGGTCACCGGGGTCCAGAACGGGTCACACTTAGGGCAACCTGGCCCAGGCAGCACAGGCAACAGCTAGGTTTTTTCGGATGCTTTTAAAATTGGTGCATTTTAACGGAGTCGTCTTCCTTCAGCTCTGTAAGGCCATAGGACTGACACCAAAACGAAGGGCAATATGCGATCTTCGCACCCGTGACTAAATTCATCACCCAAAGCCACAGAGACAATTGGAGCATGTAGCAGCTGCAACTCCAATCTACATACCAGTAGCAACACAACTCCTCCGGTTTCACATTTACCTTGAACTGAGCAGGAAAGCCGAGTTTCTGAATGATTCTTGCGTACTGCGCACAACCCACAAACAACAAAACAGATTCACACATGTCATCAAAACAGGAGTCGAAATCTAAACACATGTCACAAGCCTGCCCAAACAACTACTCACCAGCCATCAAGGACGAGGCCCACCTCTGTCGGAGCTGCTCAGCAGATTCAAGCTACATTCCAAACTACCGCAGGGGCAGTTTTACTCGAGGGAGATCAGTGAAGATCACGGCCACGGACTAAGTGGCCACCAAACGGAGGGAGGGAGGGACGGAGGGAGAGAGGGAGAGAGGGAGGGAAAGAGGGAGATAGGGAGGCACGGACGGAGGGAAAGAGGGAGGGAGGGAGGGAGGGAGGGAGGGAGGGAAAGAGGGAGACAGGCAGGGAGGGAGACGAGGGAAAGAGGGAGACAGGGAGGGAGGGGGAGAGGGAGGGAGGGAGCGAAAGGGAGGGAGGGAGGGAAACGATGTAGAAAGCAAGGTGGGATACCAGACAAACTGAACGGAGAAACACAACATTGTCTTCTCTGAGCACTCAGCATCTTCTCTGTACACTGTTGTGAACCCTAGGAACAAAGCACAACCCTTCAGTGTCATTACCACCCATAGACACTAATGCCCAGGCCATACCCATGATGGGAAACCAATTACTGGTCAACTCTACGATAAGTACTCATGATTGAGACGAGTTAAAACTGCCACTGCACGGCCCCAGCCTTGTGGAAATTTGTTCTTCGTCTACTCCAAAACTTTTGTGGCCCAGGCCTACTACCGGACAAAAATGGCTGACGGTGCCAGCCAAAACGGAAAACAGCGAGCCGCTGTTGGCTAGAAAAGCTTGGCGCGCTTACGGTTCTCTGGCTCCTTTTCCATTCAGTCCGGTTCCTATTCCACTACTGGCAAGTCACACAGGATTACAAAGAGTACTCATGCACGCTCCTCCCCCCTTATGGTGGTGAGGCCCGAAGGATGACATTGATTACCTCCTGGAGGACGGATGCACCCCCCCTCACCACTGCCCTAAGTTTTTTGCATATTCCACTTTGTGTCTGGCCTTAGATACTAAGGTCTGTCTTCTCCGCTGTCTTGGTACTTGGAACGAACATACTTGGCCCTCATTCAGTCCGCGTTCCTCTCTGCTCCATGGCTGTCGGAATTTCCTTTAATCACTAGAACTGCTGGTTTGGCCCTTTCGCTGAACTCTTTGCTAAAACCCTAAACCCTCTCCTACTTGGTTGCTGAGGTCTTTAAGCATGCTTAAAGACCTACGCCCTGGCCAACTTATTTTGGTGTTGGAACAAAAAAAAAAAAAAAAAAAAAAAAGCTTGGCGCCAAGTTGGCGCGCAGCGCATCGCCTGCAGGTGCAAGCGTCCTGATGGTCCAAACCAGAACCACCCTGCTCACAACTTTTCTCAGTTTTTTCTGCTGACAGGAAATAGCAGCCACTTAAATGCTAGGAGCAGAAAAAAACATATGTATTAGAGTGGGAATTTGGGGATTTCAAAGGCAAGTAATTATCATCAAGGCAATCATGTGCACTTTGCACCTCTACCCCTCCGCTGCTCACTACGGCGACAGCAGACCCGTTCACCAATAAACAACCATGCTTACTATACATAGCAGTGCCCCCCTCCTTTTGCCTGTGTGTATCAGAAAGAAAAATCTCCACCTATCTTCCCCTCCGGTTTCAAACCGATGCGACCGGATGCCAAGATCTTCTCACCTTCCTTGCTGCAAGCCTGGATGACTGCTCACTTTTCGCACCTGTACAGACCTGCACCACACCATATAAACCCAAAGAGACTGTGAAATCAGACACCAGACGATTACGCAAATTTTTTCATCTGTATAGAACAGCTGCAGGTCGTGCGCGAGACACTTTGAACTGTCGAAGAAACAACCCGGGAGAAACAACAGTGGTGAAGAAATATTTGGCCCCAAGGAGTCCAGAGAGGGAGTCCGCTAACTGCTCATTTGTACAATCGATATCGACTTTTGGGCTCGAAAAGTCGAGTGTTTTGAGCTTCTGTGCCACCCATGCAAGTCGCCCAGTGAATGCCCCGCTTTCCATACTAGGCATAGAAAACAAAACAGAGAATAAAGAAACCCTTTCATCTACCAAAAAAAAGGGAGGAAGAAAAAGAAACACGAATCCAGGTGCCATGGCTTACGGAGGCAGGAGGCCTGTAAATACAGTGCGGCAGGGAGTATGGGACAAGGGGACTTAGTTTCTATGATGAGGTAGGCCCAGTTTACAAACCAATGAGGGAACTTCGTTTTTTGAAGGATGAGGGAGGTCTACCATCTTCCCCCGAACATAACGCACCCTGAGAATGACCGTACACAACCTATATCTCCGGTCAGGTTCGGCCAAAACGAGGGTATGTTGTGTTCGGGGGAAGACGGTAGTTTAAGAACCAAGGCACTCGGCTCCGTAATGTCACAGTAGACCAAGATGGGATGTGGAGGGTGGAGCGTGCCAGGTTACTATGGAACCCCATTGTGGTTTCAACAGGCCGCGTGAGGCTGGAATGCGAGCCGAGGGTAGGCCTGTGTATAGACACATTTAGGGGGTAGGATAGAGATGGGAGTAATTGTATGTTTTTTTCATCTTACCGTACAATTCTGCTGGCGGCTCAAAGCGAAGCTGAGTAAGGCTCTCACTACTACTTCACCTGGTTGAATTGCTGGGACCCCGGCCTCAAATACTTTTGAAATTAGAACGGAAAAAAAAAATGTCTCGTTTAAAAAAAAAAAAAAAAAAAAAAAAAAAAACACAGGAATACGGGCGCATGGGAGACCACGAAAAAGATGAACAAAAAGGGGGGGAAATAAAAAAGAAAAAGAAGAACAACTAAGAGTCTAAGAGCGGAATAACGCTGTGTTCCCTTGCCTGTATTCCCATCCCATTCATTTTCGAAAGAAGTTCTGGTCGGACAACTCTTTGTTCTTTTGGGAACAAAACAGTTGTGTGCAGTGGAACCAGCGGTTCCATGGTAGGCTCTTAGTACCAATGGATATTTCGCTTGTGGCTGCAGAATGGCACGGGAAGGATAAAAACTATTTTAGAAATTCATTTCATAAAAGGCTTCTGTACCTCAAACAGGTTCTCAGAATGGCATGGGAAGGATAAAAACTATTTTTAGAAATTCATTCCATAAAAATCCCAATCCCAAACCAATCGAAAAAAACAGAAGGGACAAAAAAAAAAAAAGCTGCAGAGTAACATACAACTGAAAAAGGTTGGGGAACCAGCATGGAACAACATCATCAAATTCACAATATTTTCAGACGTCCTGTGAATGTGACTAAATATCAGGGCAACCTGGGCAGCGATATCAACGACGATATAAATATACATAGCAACACGCCTGCTTCTTTTATATGTGCGCTGCAGACAGCCACGGAGGCCGGGGGGGGCGTCTTCATAGGCAAAGACCGAGCTCCAGCACCCACTCCACCTGATGCTACCATGATAGCCGCTGCTATCCTCTCTCTATTGGCAGCATGTGCCACTGACCGCTTCAGAACTAGCTATGGTGGAACAAGCCATTGGCGAGCACAGGCCACGACAGGAGGCCTGCCTGACTTGGGTTCCGAAGCTGCTTGCTTGGCTTCGTGACAGTCACTCGGGCTAATAGGGTGTGCTGGGCACCACTGCAGAGACCCCTACGTTCACTAACCCCTTACAAGTCGAGCGTGTGTACATGTTCCGCTCCGTTGCATGCCTACATTCACGAATCCCTGTCATGTCGGAGCTCAACAGCTCCTTTCTTGCAAACGACAAGACGGATGTGTGTTGTATAATAGCGTGGTCAGGATTTACAGACACTACAAAGGCCACAGGTGGAGCAGAAAAGTAGCCCTGCTCTCTGTCCTCCTCCCTCCCTCCCTCTTTCTCCATGTGTATATGGTCCTTTGTAGGGTGTTGCTCCCTTAGCTAATTCTGTGCATCGGCAGCAAGTCCATCAGGTATGAACATCCGCCTTCGGCGCCTTCGATCGGGGACCCTATACTCGAGTTTTAATGGTAAAAATAACTTAAAAATTAAAATAAACATGTCCTTCGCAATAAACCTGGCAGTTGCAGAGTCAGGCGGCAGTCCATTCACTTGGGATCTTGCATGGTTGTTTTTTTTTTCTGTGTTTTTTTTTTTTCCTATTCATTTGGCTAGTTGATTATTTTAATCTGCCGTTGAATTTCTCTTCACAAAGGTTGACAGAGTTCAGCCTTGGTGTTTCACTGTTTACCCCCCCCCCGTTCTTGATCAATTGGATTCTCTTCAGACTTCTGGGTGTACAGACTGGAGCCCAGATAGCAAACAAATGCAACACTGGCTTTCTGCGAGTCCCTTTCATACCATTTTCCCAGAGGCAAAAATGAGGGCTGTCGTCTTCGGTTCTCTAATTCTCATGATCACAGCAGCAAAACGCTGAAATAAGACACAACACACAAACACAAGAAAGGACCAGCCAGCACAAAAAGCACACATCATGTGAGAGAAGCCACGGGTGAGGAGCCAGACAACAGGATTAAAAAAGAGGAAAAAAATCAATCCCGTCCATAAACGCCAGAGAGCGACGTTCATTTCGAGGAAAACAGCTGGCTGCTGTCCCTCCCTCTGTTTCTGTTTGGTCATCTCAAGTCAAACAGGTTTGGCGGCAAGGTGTTCGTCGCCATAAAGAAAAAATGTCCACGGTCAGCTCCTGCTAATCCAGCTGGAAGCAGGGCACTACCATACCCCCGACCAGAACGTCGCAGCTCAAAGAACACAACTTGAACGCCAAAACCTCAGACAATGATGTGACACCACTGGAGAGGTTGCCAGAGCATGAGATAGTACTGTCCATACCACAACTTAGAGAGCAAAAGACTCTTCCATACAGAGTTAGTGTTGTTTTCCCCGGTCAGTGTATATATTTCCTGTGTGTGATTCCGTAGTCACTTACCCAAAATTTACCCTGCCCCACCCCACTCGGCCCAGTTCCCTTGCCTTTTCTCACCCCTCCCCCCCGAGCTCACAGACTGCAAACCCATCTGGCAAACGGATAGCCGTACCTCTATCCCCTCTTCGCGCTCCCCCTCCGACCACCACCGCGAAAGACTCTTCCATACCGAGTTAGTGT